TAAACTTAAATAAAAAATACTTTATAATTAACTATATTTTACTTAGTATATTCTACTAAGTAAGATATAGTATATTATTCTTATTAATAATATAATAATAGTACTTATTTATAAAGTATATAGTAGAGAAAGAGTTATACAATATTTATTTATTTTATTTCTAATATATATCTTTTTATACTAAATTAATTCTAAACTATTCTAGAAATAATTTACTTAGAAATAGTATCTAACTACTTACTAGAACTACTACTTTTAGAGAGAGTAAGTGCACGCTTAGAAGAAAAGTCTAAGAAGAACTAGTAAGATTTACACTTATTCTCTTTATTCTAGAAAAAGATATAGTCTAAATCTATTAGAAATAATTCTAAATTATTCTAGAAATAATCTAAATAAAACTTACTATAAATAAAGTTTATATCTAGACTATTAATATTATACGCCTAGTAGAGAAGGTTATCTTTAGCTTAATTATTATAATAGTCTCTAACTATATTAGTTATAGTAGTAAAGTTAAGCTATAAAAGTTAAAAATAATTTAGAAACATTTAAAAAATAATTTACTTATTCTCTCTCTAAATTATTAACTTAGATAATATTTTAGAGAAAGTATTCTTAGTTTTTCTACTCTTTTTTTTCTTTTTTATTATCTAGTATAGTAGTAAAGTTCTTAAAATTATTATAGTCTAAATTATTTACTAATTAATCTAACTTATAGTCTAAATTACTTAATAAATAATCTAACTTAGACTTATTATTAGATTCTACTTAGACTAGGTTAGTAGAAGAGGTAGAAGAGTTAGTAGAGAAAATAGTAAAAGAGTTAGTAATAGTATTATAGGTAGCTATAGTCTAAATATAGAAACTTAGATTAAATTAATTAAGAAGTAATTTAAATAAACTTACTTATCTTAGCTTAGATTAGAGTATTAGTAGAATTTCTAACTTACTTAGTAAACGCTATTCTTAGCTAGTAAGCTTAGTATAAGTAGTTTTTAAGCGTAGTGTAACTAGTGTACTTTTACTAAAAGAAATATTAAAAATAATTAAGAAATAATCTAGAAATAGTTTATACTCTATAAAGAATTCTACCTTAGATTCTAATATAGTAGTATAGCTAACCTATATAGATAATTAGCTTATTCTATATATTAGTAGTAAAAGGTAGACACCTAAATAGATATTAGTTAAGCTAGAGAAATTACTTATAAGTAGGCTAAATTTATTAGAATTATTTATAAATTAATTTAAAAATAGTTTATATATTTTTTTAGAGAACACTCTAAATTTAGTAGGCTATTATAAGTAGCGTAGTTTAGTAGAAAAGTTTAGTAAAGTTATATTATTATTATTTAAGTAAGATTATTTTAAGAATAATTTATAATTAATTTACTAAGGCACTACTTTAGCGTGCGCATTAACTGCGTATAAATACCTTAGTATGCTATGTTTTAGCGCGCCCTTAGTTAGATAGCCTGCATTCTGCTGTGGTTAGCAGGCTTCGGCGCTGATGCAACCGCTAAGCGTCGACGCCGACCTGCGCAACATCGCAACGGCGGTCTATCGAGATTTAGGCCTTGCCGATGTAGAGAGTAGCAGACAATGGTGGGTTAGGAAGATCGGGGGCAGGGAAACGCTCGTCCGCAACTAGTACGTTGTTTCGAAAGATATGAGGCTGATTAGTCTGTACTACTGGTCTACGTTAGTACTTTTGATCCGCGAAACATCGACCTTGGCGATGAGAGTGAAGATGAGCTTCTACACTACACTAATATCTCGGGAGACGAAGATTCTATCACCTTCTATATGGTTACGCGTGAGGCAGAGACAGGTGCGAACGGACGGGGAAGTTGCAGGCGACGAGCCCAGTGGCGCCAACGGTCGAATGGCGAATATCGTGACGTGGAAGCGTTCCAAGGTTCTGACAGGCACTAGGCCGGCAACGAAGCACCTTCACAACGAGCGGTCGTATGTTTTACCCGATGAGTCTAGTGGTTTGAGCATCTTTATCTACGAGCATTCGCGCACTGATCCGAATGCATTCCGTCACACCATGCAAGCAAGCTTCTTCTTTGCATGACACCACCTATTGCAGCCCCGAGCATGAACACGTTCTCCAGAACACCAGCACGGACAGAATCTGTTCCGATCCTCTTTCCGTTTCTCGTCATTGCCCTGCTTCACAAGCTTCTCCCAACGGTCAAAGTCTTTCTGCGACGGGATTTTACATGTCTTTGCACAAGCGCAAGATAAGACTTTGCTGTCCTTTAGCTGCTTGATGAGGTTTGCGATGCTTTCCAGGTCGCTAGAAGAGTACACCGGATGTTGTAATCGACGTGCGTATTCCGCGCTCGTATCTGTCGGTGCCCCATCCTAAACATGATAATACAACGCATCTAGGTAATTGCAGAATTGCCAAGGTATGTCTTTATTTGTAGCCATTAGCGACTGGATAATGTAATTGATGTTCTTGATAGTTCTGCCAATGTCGGCTGCTGACTAGATTATGCCTCCTCGTGCAATAGAGTCGTCCAATGTAAGGACGCAGTGTACTACCGGATGACTAGGTCTCATGATGAGTGTGTCGCCGGGGCGGAGAAGAATAATTTCAACATGTTCAGCAGCTGGTCTCCACTGTGCCCCCGAGGTTTCTAGTTCCTTCTGTTCTTTTTCGGTCCATGGTCCAGTATATATGAACCAGGCACGGAAGCCGGTGATGGTTGTCAGCCACGTTCCATTTAGTACATCCAGGTGCCACCCAGAGAATGAAAACCGCTCTCCATACAACACGAACTGAAGGCAGGCCTCGCAGTCGATTGTTCGCGTCTTTGTCTCTTTGCCTCCGGCTGGTCCAAACTGAGATTGTTCGTCGAGATGAACCTGAACCTTGAGATCATTGAGCAAGCTGTATCCAAGGTTCCGAAGACAGTCTGGCCCTGGTACGACGTGCTCCAGAGCTGCTCCGGAGATGCTCAAAAGGTTTCTAAACTCGTCGGAGGTCGCGCGCCTCTCCTTTGACATGCGAACTTCGTATCGCTTGCAAAAGTCTTGAGCGGTCATCTCTGAGGTACTACCGCCAATAATCTCCCAATTCTGGTACATCAAACCGACTTCGCGGTGCTGTGCGAAGCGAAGGAAAGCTGCTTCAGCATCTTGGAAACGTTCAAAGGTATTGGAGATCCGCAAAGTCGGTGTATGCGCGTTCAGAGCACGACCTTGTTTGAGGAAAGTACCGAGTTCCTGAGCAGAGGTGGAAACCCAATGGTTGCGAGAGAGGTTCGAGGCGCTATCTAGGGAAGCCGGCTTCTCGCCGATGTCATGTGGCTGATCTGGTGAAAAGCTTTGTAGAGCTGGAAATACTGCTCGCAGCATATCGATCCCAGTCTTCCAATGAGCGAGATTCTCGCCTTCGCGATCGGTGTAAGGGCCGCACAGTAGTTGTCGGAGCACACCTTGGAGAAACTGGCGGTCATAAGAGATGGACTCTGGGACGCTGGACTCGGCAAACCTTCGCTCAGGTAGAGGTGTGTCGTTGGGATCGCAGGAACACGTGTTGTGTTCGGTCTCGTCTTCGCCGACGGATGCTCCATGTAGCTGCTTTCCCTTACAGTTTGCGCGATTGCTGTCACATACAACCCGCCGCTTTGCCCGCATTCACATCACACGCCGCTGCGTGCTTTTATGCCAACACGAGTATCCCTACATGCCCGTCCGTATCCCCGCAGCCAGCTCTCGATTGCCGCACCCGACAAAGACTACATGATACCTCCGCTTCAAGCACTGCGACGCACGGTATGCCCTCATTACGACCACGATATGAGCACGACCATGTCATGCCCCATCTTTGTGCAAATCACGGGAGTCGTGGCAGGATGGGTGCAAAGCCTGTAGGTGAAGCAGAGTCTGGGCAGCTCATCAGACATCTGGAGAGAGTTCGTGACGCTTGGAAAGCGGGGCGTCTGGCTTGACAGGTGTGCTCTCGTTCCGGACAGCGCTCTCAAACGACGTCGGCTGGATGCGCAAGTAACGATGGGGCGCGCGGTAAGCTCTTCATCCCGTCGCAGGACTGTTTGTTCAAAGCCAACCACCACGTCCTAGTGCTGCTTAATGCAGCAAACCCCTTTCTTTTTTACGCTTCAAGTATGCTAGCAAGGCAAAGTCGACTCTGTTCATATGGAGGCACGGAGGAGATATCTACGGTTTGCGTGTCGACACGCTGTCGCCGACCGCGACACAGGGTCCTCGATACATGTCGTGTAACATCTGTCGTGTATGATGCTGGCCTATGTGCAGTCGCTTTTGTACGCGCACTGGAGAGCTCACCAACCGCTGATGGCGATGACTAAGATTCTAGTACCTTCTCAGTCCCTATCAGTGAAGCATTCGTGACTTCGTGGCGTCATGACTCTTTGATCCAATCAGCTCCTTCACCCGATTAGCGTCGCCTTCCATCGAGCCACTCTTGTGATACTATCGCGTCTTCTGTCGTGCAAGCGCAGAACTCGATTCAGGTTTTTGTCGTTGCTCCAGTACTCTCCTGGAACGTAGGCTCTCTGTCGGCATTTCTCCCTCCAGCTCAAGATGTCCTTCAGTCTATGCATCTACTTCTTTGTCACCAATTATAGAAACTTGTCTATGAGTAGAGCGTAAACATCATGATGGCGTTGATCAACATTGTCTCCACTGCCGTTACCGATAAGCATGTGACAGCTCAGCCTTCAGATCTTGGTAACGGGGCAAAGATCGTGGCAGGCTCACATCTACATGTCATGAGCAATTTATCGTTGAAGAGGAGACTTGTTCGTAGAAGTCAATGTCGCAATGACTCCCGCAACACACACGAGATACACGATGACTGAATCCGCCGTTTAAATAATGGAAGGGATGAGAAAGAGGTAATCACTGGATGCGCACGTCATGGACTGCGTTGTGGAATTCACCCATCGTATGTGGACACCGCGATATCATATGAAAGTTAAACTTCCGTGACAATCCCGTCATGGTATCAGGTCACTCATGATCCGCGAGTCGCGCCTTTTGAGCTTAAGTCGAACTCTGGGTATCGTGTAACAGAAAGAAGCGTGTACCAGACCGCCTTGATGACGAGCCAGTAGGGTTATAAGCGTGATTATGACCCACGCGCGAGAGGCTGTACGCCCGACCCAGAGGGTCCAACCACCCTTCAGCTCTTTCTGATCTCGCCAATCTGTATGTTGCCATGACCATCGCGCCTCCGCTTCTTGAGAGGGGGTGAGCCACGTGCAGGGGCCGGTGAAGTGGCAATCGTGGCGCTGGGGCTGCCATGCTCGCTGAGATTCTCATCGACATGGCTGAGGATATCAGAATCGCCCTGGTCCTTGTTGTTCCCATCGGTGCCGACATCCTTAGAATCAGAAGTGTTGGAATCACTATCCGCATCGCTCAGTTCCGCGTATTGATACTCCTGCCTCCTTTCAGAACGCATCTTGTCGCTATACTCGTCTACGATGCGTGAAAACTTTTCTGCGTATGAGAAGATGTCGTGAAGCTCTTGATGCGTAAAGTCCAGCTGTAGAGCATTAAGATCGATCGTATCTGGCTGCGCAGAATCGGCTACAAAGTCGGCTACAGAGAACGGGATTTTGGCGTTTGGCGAGATGACACCATTAGCATCTCGGAACTTGACACGAGTGCCGGCGTCTATAACCGCCAGTTTCTTGTCCTTGACACGGAAACGAAACACTTGTTAGGTGGCCCAGTGAGGCTGTTCGCGCAACACGCGTTGTTGCTCAGGCGTACGATGTTCAAACTCAATCCCGACGAATGTCTTGGTATTGCCTGCAACTCGGTGTTTGATGTCAGTGTATATCCCACACGTAGTTTACAGGCGATGTCACTTACCCTTCCTGCGAGCTATATAATCATGCGCTGCTCGTCTGAGATCCATGTGACCATGCGAAATCTCAATGACGAATCCTGGAAGATTCTTGTGTGCGTAGTTGAAAGCGATGCAAGGCGTGCGAAGGGACTGAGGGCGAACATATGTTTGGTACCGGCCGACAAACTCGATATCATCGATGATCGAGCATGTAAGCGTTCTATGATCTGGATCAAGTATGCTTACACCCAATTCCACGTCTTTCTTCACACTGGCCAAATTCCCACACAGCCGGGACCTAAGGTCTCCTGTGACCGAACAGTAGAGCGCGTAACCGCGCATTTTGATGGTAAGAGATCTTGTGCGGTCATCGTAGTTGTAGTAGACTTTGTCGCCTGCCCAACCAGCAGTGTGCCGGTTCAGGTTCTCGCTCTCCACTCCTGGTTCGAACAGCTCATTCTCCAGTGAAGGCCAGTCTCGACGTCGAACTACGACGGCGAACTCATGATCCTTGTACTTGACCAATTCTTTGCCATCGCGAAGTCGCTGGATGAAGTCGTAAATCTCATGGTATCTCGGTTTGGGCAAGAGGTGTGGCACCGGTAGCGTCGGGGTGTGTGAGGAGGGTTGATCGAGGGGCCGCTTGGATGCAGAGGAGGGTAACAGCTGCTCGCTGCTCGCCATGGACCTTGTCACGCGCATGGCGGAGAGTGTCGCGGATTCAAGGTTCAGCTCGCAATCGCAGATTGTGTAGTCGGTGGCTTGGGAATGGCAGCACTCCTAGTTCCGGTGCTAGGCAACAGCGTCGCGCCTTGTCGGTGGGCTAGCGCGCCCGCGAGGCCCTCTAGGGCTAACCCCGGTTGACGGGCAGCGAATGTAATGTGTGAGCCTCAGGAAGCCACTTGGAGGCAAGTGAGATTAATCAGAAGCCAGTTCACACAGTCACGGAGAAAACTACAGCGACGCAAAGGAGAGAAATGAAGAGTAGTGAGATGTATGTAGAAGAGGATGGGAGGGTTCAGCGCGTTCGAGAGCTCTAGGGCTGTTCTTGCAGCTGCGCCAGCTGCAAAAGATTGTGGCACGGCGCGGATCCATGCACTTGACGGCTTCGAGCCCGTAGCATTACAGATTCCAGTTGCAAGAGGCAACAGGTGAGCTCCTAGATCCTTCAACGTTCGGCTGGACTTGTGTTATCATCGCGCCATATAATGGGGCCGCCACTGTCGCAATGAGCCTGAGCTGCCGCCATGCGACGACAAGCTGTGGATGTGGAGGGATGAGCCCGATCATGGTGCAATAAGCTGTCGGCTACCCCAGAGAGAAAATGGCCCGTTCCACCACCATGTTGCTAGCTAGCCTTTGCGCGAAGAGAACCACGACGCTCGGTCGCTAGAGCTCTACGAAGGCCTTCTGCCGCGTTATCGGCTACAAAGCCTGGCGCTGCTCGAGTCATGATGATGTAATCCACCTAGCTACCGCCGGATCCGGTGTGAAGTGGAACACACGATCTGGTGTTGCCGTAGAAGTTTGGGTCCAAGCAGGCTCGTGCCCATTGTTCGCGGATCGGTGAGATTGGTCGAGGCGAGTGGCGGAGTGACATGTCGCACTTGGTTCCACGCATAGACTCACAAGAGAAAGCGAGATCGCGTTCCGCTAGCCAGTGCTTGCTAGTACTTCGGAAAGACTTTCCAGGGTATCCTCATAGCCCTGCTGTCATTTGTGACCGCTAACGGGCTGGAACGACGCGCCTGGACACGGGGCCGTTGCAGTGCGACAACCGTATTCAAGAGCTGGGATGGGGTCCACTCGGACCGGGGCCGATGGAGTCTCGGCAAGGCCTTCCTGCTGCTCATGCCAGTGGAGGTTGTGACCAGATAGTCACCACGGCGCGACTCGCTCATGATGTGTCTGGAGTGTGGGCGATATGGAGACGTGCGTTGAATGGTGAAGCGATGGGACGGGGGAATCGCGAAGTGGTGCTGGAGACGGAGTGGTGCTCAAGGCTGGAGAGGTCAGCATCCCATTCGAGAGCCTTCGTGGTGAGACGTACGCCGGGCCGCTCGATGCCTCTAGCGATGTTCTCGCGCACCTATCGAGCTGCAATGTCCAGGGCGACCGTGTTGCTGAAGGAGTCGCTCACTCTCGAGACTCGGATGCAGGTCATTCGTGTCTTTCAGAATCCAACACTATGATTGCTGCGGCACAGGTGCTGGCTATGCGTTAATCGCGAGACCGGTGTTTGGTTGCTTCACCTGTGACAGTCCCCCTTGATCGCGTCCACGCAATGGCAGGGTCCAGACGCGTAAAAGGTATGGCCCCGGGCTCCTCCCTCTCCATGTTCCCGTGTTCCCCCGTTGGGCTGGCGGCGGCGAATGTGTTTCGTGCGCGAGTCGGCGTCCCGGGGATGTGCGGAAAGGAGGGCGGTGTTATGTACATGGCCGCGACCGACACATGCTGCTGATACGGTCGCGAGTTTGAGCTTGAGCTGTCGCATGTGTCGTCGGACTGTTTGCAGGAGTACACAGTAGCCCCGACACCCTTGTGGCTGGCCAGTCGGGCAGAGCAACAGCGTCAGATCCATGCCTCCTCACCGGTAATGTCCGCTAGCAATGCTGCCCTGTTCCATGATGTGCTTCGACCCTGGGCGCGTGAAGAGCGATAGCAACAATGAAGGCTGCTCCGTTGGTGGGGGCGATGCGCCGGAAAGCCTTCAAGCCGCCGACATTGTGCGTGTTCGCCTGGTTCATTGGGACTCGTTGTGAATGGCTCGGTGAGAGTGGTCGAGTCAGTGTACATCAGGCCGCGTTCTGGGTACACAGTCATCCGCTACCGTGAGGTTTTAGTCAAGACCTGTAGCTGAGCGACCGATCGAGTAGCTCCACGCCAAAGGCTCGTGGCCAACTGGGCGTCATCAACTCCATGTTGCGATGGATGAAGGCCAGTATACCGGAAAGAGTGGTCGGGCGACCCGAAGTTATCGCAGTGGACCACCATGCCGTAGCAGCGGATGTCTGACGGGCTACGAGAGCGACCGTGTGTCTGAGCCTTGTCCATCTCGTTGCAGACACGAATGTGCACCGTCGGGTGTTCTCGATGTTGTCAATGACGCGAAGTGGCGTGGTCTTTCGCGAGGGGTAGCGTGGACTCTAGGACATGCCGTGCGCTGGTGGGCATGCTTGGGGTCTTCGGAGCGACGCGCCCTCTGACTAGGACGTGAATGACGCTAGGGACATCAAGGGGAATAAGCCTGTGTGCTATGAGACTAAAGAGGAAGTAGCGTTGTGTCTTGCGAAGCGCCGGGGTGGGGTGATTCAAGCTGCCGGAGCGCGTCGTTGCCCGCCCAGGTCTGAAGCGTCCCTTCCGGAGGCATACAAACCATTGAAGTGGCTCCCACTTCGGCCCATAACGGCAGACGCGACGGCGTGTCGGACCCAAGCGAGCTGGCCGCGTCGTTCACTAATAGCGAAGCGTGGTGCATGTCCCGGTTTGTACAAGCATGTCCACTTCGGACGAGATATGGCGCCTGCGACGCGTTGATCAGCGGCTGCCGTCGCCCGTAGTTGATGGAATGGTGGTCGTGACGTGCGTGGTGGAAGGGCTAGCCGATGATCGTCGCGTCTGATGGTTCATCGCGCAAGCCGGACAAGACGAGCAGCGCGATTGCTGCAGAAGATGTGGAGGGTGACGTTGGTGGTGATGCGTCGTGATCTGATGTTGGTGGTGTCGTCGCGGAGGACCCAAAGAGCGCGACCTCGGGAGTGCCTGCATTAGCGTACCCCGCAATGAGCGCGACGTACAGTGTGCGTGGGCCGTCTAACATTGAGAGCTCCGCGTGTGATTTAGCGGCTCGGTCAATGTGGTGTTGCGTTCCCGATTACTCACGGCCTATGACGTAGCCTGGATCGCCATACTTTCGCAATCGCACCGATGAGGCTATGCCTTCACTTTTCTGCCAGTCTGCTCATGGTGGCGGAGAGGATCCGTAAGTGAAACCAGCAATCCCGGTGATGGATACAGAAGCCTTGCCTACTATGCCAGACGTGTACAAACCGACGCCAGAGTCGAGACTCTTCGATGAAGGGATCAGCCTTGCCGATTCGCAATCAGAAGCCATGGACTTCGTAGAACGCAATACGAGAAGGCACAACATCGACGTTGCACATCTGGACAAGGCACCGCAACGCGAATTAGCAAGGACGACTCCGGAGGACGTTTTCACTGTTCCAGCTTCACCGAGAACTGCCATGTCCTCGGTTCTCTCCTTCACCTCTATTTGATCTCATGGCCTTCTCTCACGATAGATTGAAACGGCCCGGGGTGTCCTAAAATAGCACCACCTCTTCTACTTTCAAGTTTATCCTCACACGAAGATACCGAACCATCTACACCATCCACCTCAAAACACACCAAATTCACATCTTCAGGCCGATAAGAGCGACCACCGCCGTCTGCGTATCCAGTCTGTCGCGCGCAATCGACCATCATGCGCATTATCGGAGAAGACATCAGTTGCTCCACCCATGGTAACAGGTACCTTGTCCAGACTTTGGCCAAGCGAGGTCACGACGTCTCGTTCATGAACGAATGGCGCCCCGCCGGTGTCGTTTCCGCCAAGGCCAAGACCATCTGGGAGGGAAGGACGAGGCGCGTAGGACACGCGGACGCTTACAGCTGTGACACGGAGCAGCAAGAGGCTCAGAGACGACCCGTCACAAAGTGCGCCGTTTGTCACGAGAGCATTGCGAACCTGAACGCGCTGACTCCTACGTCCTGCTGTAGTAAGCACCCGATAGCCCTTTCTTTTCCTACGGCATGTTGACCGTCGACAGGCAGGTATCGCTGCGAGGTGTGCGCTGCTCGTAAAGCACGGCAAATAGCAGATTTCGGACCCGGAACATACTGTACTATCTGCTTCAAGACTCACTGAGTAACAAGACCACGTGTTCATACTCGGCACTTTCGTCCTCCTCACAAGGTGTCAGCTCTTGGGCGAAGCATCGACATTCGTGCTTGCGCCGGTCGCTGCTCCTGTACACGTGTGGTTTCGAACCGCCCACGACCTGCGTGACAGCTACATGGCTTCAAACACCATCTTACTGGCTTTCCAATACAGAATTTGCGCATCTATATCTTCCACGGTTTATTTTCGAGCGTCTTCGAGCGGTAATCACAACGTACCATTGCGGGAACACGTCGCGCGGGTTTGGGCTCACGACCCGCGCGGCCAGCACACATTTGCGTATGACATCCGACTTTTGATTTGATAGCGGCTTTGGTTTTTAGAATGGCGATGTGTGGGGATTTCGTCCAACTCACATGCGATGACGGCGCATGAGCCCCTTGAGCAGCGTCTTATGCATGTCGATTGCGGACGACCAGGATGGGTCGGCGTACACAAGAGAATGGACAAGCAGCAAGGGCAATTTGGGTTATAGTTGCAATGAGAATATCTGGAGTTTGACTCTTTACATTTGGCCTACTGACCTTCCTTGAGAACGACATCTAGTAATGTTGTTCTGCGTTGGTTCTGCCCGGGTACGTTTCTCAGGTAGTGCAAATTTCACCATCGCAGCTCGAGACGCAGGGAAGAGACCCCCACGTGCAAGAGGATCAGACCCTGATGATGCGCGACAACTACGCTGTGCTTACTGCATCGTAATCACAAGGTCGCTATCGGCGCAAGGATTGGTGTTGATGATTGGGCTGGACCGCAGTGTGAGTCAAAAGCACACTCTATACTTGTGTTGATGAGCAATATTGTCGTGCACACGGTGCCCCGCGCCACGACGTTGGATGTCCGCGCCAAGACGCTAGATGGAACGGAGAGTAGCGCATCATGATCTCGACCTCGGGAACACGAAACCTTCCCCGGGCAGAAACATGGGGGAACCGTTCACATTGCGAGAGCACATGCGGCTATGGCCTGAGAAGCGGCCGCATGCCGCGCAGAGCGTTAACAACGTAGCGAAATGCGGACGTGCAGTGTCGAGAAGACGTTGGCAGTCGATGTAGGTTGCAGCGCAGCCGGACGGCCACCAGAGAGCTCCCCGGGGCCGTAGCACTGATCCTGAAGAAGGAAGGAAGGAGCGGCCATGCCATCATGTCATCAACCCCAGCTTCCAATCTGAAGGACGACAAGATCGTGACAATCGATAGCACTTCAAGTTCAATTCAAACTCACTCACTCAAACTCACTCAACTCTACATGCCAGATATCATCCCAAGCATGTCTCCCAACACCAACACCAACACCAACACCAACACTTCGCGAGCAACAGTAGAGGCCGATGTGCACAAATCCAGCCACAGCGAAGACGATGTCAACCAGAGATCCAGTTCGAGAGACGCAGAAGAGAAGTTTCTTGCGAACTATTGTCCTAGTACAAAATCGCAACACAGCACAAGATCGCACGGGCACGAGATGGCTACTATGCAGGTACACAAAGTGCATTGGATTTGTGTATAACAACATCAAACACCTCCGTATGCATATAGGTGCTTGTTATGAGAATAACGTTTACTATGACGCTGTAAGTTTTCATATCATTACGAGTTCTACTAGACTTTAGGGTAACAATTGCAGAAATGTCAACGTCAATTGCCTGCAGGTTATAGGCGGCAGATGTGGAAGGTGCGAGTCGTTGGGCATGCCATGCGTATGCTTTTACCAGGACGATTATCAGCTACTGCTGAACGGAACCCCAACTACACATGTCCCACGCGCCGCAAAGTATGTGTTTATCGATGGACTACCTAAAAGTTTCGGTCGCTAGCCACTGAACCGGATACGCCTTCTACCGACATGATATGTACTTCAACAGAACTCCGACTTGTCACCCACGGATCTGGCAAGACCGCAAAAACCGCGACCATCATCCCCCACTAGCCCACCTGCGCCTGTACGCCACTACCATCACCGCCGTGGCCGGTCCAGCGTTGAATTCCGGGAGAGAGTGTCGATGCCTGCAATAGGTCACTATACGACGAAGTAAAACCAAACCATTGCGATGCAGAAGACTGGCTGAATATGCGACAGACACGGTGCTCGCGCATTGCGTGCTAGGGAAAACACTCACCTCACAGCGGACCGGTATTCATCGCGCGATAGCATCCAAAAGCCAGGCGATGGCTTGCAACCGGACTTCAATCAGAGCGCGCAATGTGGTCGTAGGCATCGCACTTCTCCTTCTGTGATATACTTGGCGATGCCAATAACACGTCACTGGCAGGCGCGATGACAACGTGAAAGTCATCACGCGACAATGCATGGAAGCTACAAACCCAGAAATAAAAGAACGTCCAGCCACCAGTTGGCTTCCTATCTCGACCACTCCCCATCTGAACATCCACATTCCACATTCCAAACTCTTCGTCACCGCCATTTACGTATCTTCCGCGTTGCGACAGATCTCAACACAATCTCCGCAAAGCGCGTTTACCCACGGCCATCAACCATGCACCCGAAGCTTGCCGTAGTCCTCAAGTAGTGGACACATGAACTCATGGGCAGACAGATTTTTTGACAACTTGGGAGATCCATTTCATATGTCGTGCTCAAGAGTCTCTTGACTGGCTCACTGCAATACTTTATCCGAACGTATTGTGCTACGTTTTACGGATCCCTCGCAATTTTCGTCATCACCGTCTAGTCCTACGAAATGTATTACAACATCCGGAGCTGGTGCTACGGGCCCAAAACAACAGCCGTCGACATCCATAACAGGATCTTTCACGCCAAAGAGCCAGTATCGATGGATGTGCGAGTAGTACTAATGCACACTACACATAGTTGGCGTCGCCTCTGCCTATACACGCCAGAGAGAGAAAGTCGCAGCCGCCCCGCAGAGCTGGAAGATGGCGTGGCTGGAGCTCAGTCGCTTCGGCACGGACAGAGTTATCTCGGCCGGAATCTGCATGACCACCCCCGCGGCCCTATCGCAGCTGCCATTGGTTCCCCGCGAGTCAACCGTGCACGGGTTCGACAATCCTGTCAATGAGCGCATCGCCGCGTAGATGTCTTCTCACCTTCATCAATCTTCGACTACGAGATGCCGCATCAGATCTTCCAGCGATGATGCAGTACCTAACAGTCACATCTCGCTTCCGGTCCCCTCGAAATCACGATCCTTCCTGTATGTTTGAGCGTCACCGCGGTGCCAGCACAACTCCTGGTCAACTTCCCCGAGCAGAAAGATGATTCGCGAATTTTAGAAGCGACAGCAATGGCGAATCTTTGATCAAGGACATATGGACTCACCTACGATGATATACTTTAGCGTGCCGCTTGTTCGGCTAGCCCATCACCAGGGCCGCTTTCTCACTTCTTCCTCCAAGTTATCTATATTCATGCAAGCAGTGCCCGGGCAAGGCAATTCGATCGTACAACTCCAATCCGTGGACTTGTCTCAATTGAACAAGACTTGCCGCTGTTCTCTAGACTGGTGTCAGCTATTGGGATTTGGCCAGGTACAGTTTCAGAACTGTCAAGCCCTAATCAGCGCATGCAATTGCGAAGGGTCACCTTGAGAGGAGGTGATGGTACGCAGCCTGATACAGAGCGGGGACATAATCGCGGCTAGATAGGGATGATTCACATGTACATCCCAAGATCGTTCTTTTTGCGCGCATGCCGCATGGACTGTAGATGAACACACTATAAACCTATTGGTGCATTTCCCACGTGCTGGAGCATACATGGGGGTGCGGCGATGCATGTCGTGGCAGGGTCGAAGATGATGCGCGGCTTCCAAGGGCTTCGAGGTGGAAGATTTGGCCATGCGGGCTAGGTCGTGCTCGAGCAGACTTGACAGTGAAAGCGGAGGAGAATGTTCGCAGTAGACATGTGTATCGAAGTCTCGGCCAGGGATGATAATGATGGAGTCGATGGGCAGACTCGACGCGAAGGGGACGCTAGTGCACTCCGAGCCCGAACCCACCTGGGCACTTCTCATCCTGCCGCTAGCTGTTGTAGCCGACGCGCCGAGCCTTCCTCTTCCACTTTCACTGCTCGCAGCAACGTGGCCATGTAGAGGCACTGTTTTTGCTGCGTCGCGAGATTCACCTGGTTTCTGTATGCATCTGTCCACCGCCGTGTCGTCATCGCCCAGCATGGCTACCTAGACAGATCGCAATCCGACCACAACCCGTCCATCCGCCTCGCCTTGTCCGCCGCCTAACTCCAGACACCCGGGCGCATCGTCATGGCCACCAGCGCGAACACGCACGTACCGTCCTCTGGCATTCGGAAGAAGCCACACTCGATCGAGCGATTCCTGCACAACGATGAGCACGAACAAAGAGGCCGGTGGCACTGAGCGGTGCAGTACCGGAGCATGCGCGATAGCGACCCAGAACGCCACGACGTCCGCCCATGTCCTCCAACAGCATAACCTCATTGCTCACAGCTCAAGAGCCGGCGGTCTATATACTCTCCGCTATGGAATGCCAGTGAGCGCTTCCCCAGGCCTTGCCTACCACATGGACCCAGCCGCGTGCATGGTCTGGGTGCATTAAGGTAGACCAAGCGTACGTGGGCACCTCTTCAGTGCAGAGGATGGCGCACACTGGCTTGCGCGGTCTCAGAAACCACGACGTGGGTTTCGCTGGCGTACGCTTCGTGTCGTGATTCACTTCATCATGGCGTAGGCAAAAGTTTGTCAGGCCCAGTAACGATCCGTGAAGGGTGAGGATGTGGCTGTCTTACTCAGCCTACATGTCGCAACATGCATCAGGGACGGCTGATCACGCATGTCACACATGCTGTTCATCGTCACGACTTTCGAGCGTAGCTTTCCAGGTCAACTAAAGTCCGCTCATTGTCTCAGCCAAACCAGGCCGTCACATCAAGCGGCGAATGGCTTCCGAGCTGTCTCATGTTCATTTCTTATCGCCCAAGTCAACAATCAGAACAAATGGCCAAGTCCGGCCTCTGAACAACACGGTACATAAGCCCCCGCTTCCTCCATACTGCGCTGGCTTCCTCCCACCAACCACGTTAAGATTGTATCCTGGGTTTTCTCCTCATCGCATTACAACTAATCATCCACTTTTGTTCTTCCGTCTCTTGTCAAAGCTCACGCATCTCGTGTTGTCGCATTACCCTCTCTACGATGTCATCATTTGAAACTCCACGACCAGCCAAGGTCAGTATACTTGCGACAGCTTCTCATGCTGTCTAATCAACTCTCTTCCTAGAACACTATCGAGTCAAGCCGTATAGCATGTGATGAGATTAGTAGCCCATCTTGCCCAAGTGTACGCAAGCTTGGTCATGGCACTCCGATCGATGGTCAGGCGCAAGGTATGTGCCTTGGATTCGCTAGTTTCACGGATCTCACTCACGTCCATACTACCCAGTGTCAAAAGCCTCAACTATACGAATTATCTCACCAACATCCGGCACGCCGCAGCCACGCCTCTACAACCCTGCCATGCCACTGAAGTTCGACACTACGGAACATGACACGACTAAGCCGACCAAATCCGATGAAGAAGTGGTTGCAACGACCGGAGGCCTCACTGGAAGGTCTGTGCGTTCCGGCGAGACGTCCCCGCGCGAATCGATGGACAAAGAGAACCCCATTGAGTTGCAGAAAGTCAGCCACGTAGCTGCAAGCTCAGACGGGATCAACCACGATGCAACTACGCCCTCTTCGTACTTCCGGCGATTCAAATACCTCCTGCTCTTCTTACCCATCGCCCTCGCCGCACTGTTCGATCCACCTCCCCTTGAACACGGATTACGCGCGGTCTGGAAGTCCGTCTCCAGCGTTCCAAACATCTCCTACGACCTATACAACGTGCTGCTCTGTCTTCCTCTTCGTCCACTCAGTATTGGATCAGATCATGCCTCGTGTCTCGTCGCCGAGCTTCCCAACATGCTTGACAACATCTACGCTTTTCTCGACTCCTACGTCAACCTATGGCGCACATTCGGCATCTTCTTCACGATCATGTTCTCGGTTTTGTCATGGCAATATGTTCGCATCAGCATCGCCATCCTCCTCGCTGTCAATATACTGCTATTGACTGTGTGTGACATGCAGAGACGTGACATTCAGGACCTGGACATGCTCAGGTTGCAGCTCATCTCCTGGCAGCCACCATCCTGCGAATATGCAACTGCAGCAAGGTGTGAAGGCTATTTCGCGTCTGAGGAGTTTGATGCGAAAGTTCGAGATGCAGTCGCATTGCATCGGGAGCAGATGATGCAGGCTGATGTTACCGGGCATGAAGAGGGAAGGCGATCGGGTGCGCAACAGGAGGATGATCTGCAAGTGGGGAAGAAACCCGTGCTTCAAGGAAAGAAGAATACTATCACTACGAAACCTGTGACTGCTGTCGTCATGAACCGTTGATGGCGCAGCGGGTCATGATGGTGGTACTGTTGCAGCCAAGCATCCTTGGTTGTCATGCTGCTCAGACACGTTGTCAAGAGCGGCCAGGACGCGAAGGTGCGTAATGGTATCATCTATTGGGTGTCAGCGGGAGGATCTCCATATGTATCACAGTTATTTCCTTGGCATAAGCTGTGTCTTGCATGTATTCACTAGACTATTGTAGTAGGAGCATTTATACAAATGCCCGATCTGTTCAAACACCAGAGTTGCCGAAGATCAACACATAAAGAGAGTAGCATCCAATCATGAGACCCTTACGCTGGAATATAGATCGTGTCAAGGCGAAATCAAGCATTCCATATTTGCCATCAGTGTGACTGTGGATGCGTCCTAAATCTTGTGGATTTGCCCCGACTTCACGACAGGCTTTTGTTCCATCTGCTTACTCCTTAACACTTTCTTCCTGCTCCGCGGATGGAGTGCTGTCTTTGTCGTGCTTTGAGATGACTTGCTCGAGTTCGGATATCTTGAGTCGAAGCGCCGACAATTCTTGCTGAGCTTCGGTTTCTGCGCGTGCAAGCTGCATAACCTGATCGTCGAGTTCCTTTGCAACTTGTGTGCACAAAGAGTTCTGTCCGCAAATATCGCGAAGACTACCCTGGAGTGTCTGGATTTCACTCGCGAGAGAAGCATTTTTGGCTTCAAGCTCGGATATCTTCTCTTGGAGCACCGACTCGTCTTCCTCGGCTTCAGGTTCCACGGCATCGAGATCCTTCAAGGATTCTATCCACTCATCGTAGGTCCGGCAGCACCATTGTGCTCCGTCTATTTTCAACTCGGTCTGAGGGCGATCCTCGGCCTGAAGTGTCTGGATCTCATTCGTGAGATAAGCATTTTTGGCCTTAAGCTCTAATATCTTCTCTCGGAGCACAGACTTGTCTTTCTTAGCTTCGGATTCAATGCCAGTGAGCTCCTTCAAAGCATCCATCCACTGACCGTAGGTCTGGCAGCACCATTGTTTTGCGTCTATTGTCAACTTGTGCTGACGGCGATTCTCGGCCTGGAGTGTCTGGACCTCAGTTGTCAGAGACGCAATGGTGGTCTGAAGCTCTAAGATTAGCTTTTCCAGAGCGGCAACGCGGTCAGTGGGGTGTTCGATTTCTATGGAGCCGTTCTCGAGTGGGCAACTTGCTGTGTCCATTGTATGTTGCGTGTGTCGTGTGGATCTCGTGGTCGACAACTCGTTGTCGAGAGAACGAGAGAGGAAGAAAACGTCAATGCTATACCTGGTCCAATGCAATCGTTGTGTACATTATGACACAGGACGCTCGCATAATGAATTCGAAACTATGGATAGTGTGAATCATTGTTGGTAAAGGAGGGGGCTAGAAAGGCGAGTGAGAACGACCTCATCGGCATTGTATTGAAGTACCCACCTATACCAATTGCTCTTCAAACATCGAGGTTATCAAAGCCGCTAAGCGCACTGTGTCGCTTCGATTCGGCTTGACGGAATTGGGTTCTAAGCTGCACAGCTAAATTGCATGACCGCGTCAGTCCCGCCAAGATTGCTAATCCATTGATACGGCTCCACAACCCTGAATATGTGCATTGTTTTGACTGCAGAATCGTTTTGACTGGAGAATAGTGCATCAAGTGCAACCTCATGATAATCGAATGATCACTGGCATTTCGAGGAATGCTCATGACAACGGCTGAGGAATAACCTGCTCTGGTCTGCGATCCTGTCAAGACAGAAGAGTGTAAGGGATATCGGGGCTAAGCCATTGCAAGTGAGTACCAACGAAAGACGTGCTTGTGATGCGAGAAGTGTGATGGTCGATGATGGTGTTGGTCACTGGCAGCCATAGGCGGCTGCTTACGTGGTGGCGGAGTGATTACGTAACGGCCTGTCGGTGCCACGCAACTCGGACTTCACAAGAAAACTCAGCCCGTGCCCACCACTGCCGTTATCATCAAAGCCAAATTACGCAGACTGCAAGATGCTCTACTCGAGACCTGGAGTCAGCGCGAGTCCTCCCACTTCATCCAGCCCCCACCTGGACATCAATCCTCTGCATGAGCTAACCGACGCACGCCTCGTCTGACTTGACGGCTGCGATGCTAACGCGACTTGCCTCCGAGGTCGACTAGACGCGAAGCCGATCGACATGATGCGCACGCCTCTGGTGCGACGATGTCAGACAGCTAACCTTCACTATGCAGTATGCTTCGAGGTGTGTTCACTGAATGACGTATTGAACAAGATCGCATCACTCCAGAGTCGTCATATAGCAGCACACCACGCAGTCGTACGTTGTCCTCCGCTGGCTGTCCGAGTGCCCAACTTCCAACGACAAGGCCAGGCTTGTCGAGATGGTGAAGACTTCATAAAGAAGCCCTAGAAAGCCTGACCAGTAAAAGCCAACGCTATATGTTCGACGACGATGCTGCGCTTGGCACAAGAAGCGACGGGGCCAACTCGGCTGAGGAGAGAAGATTCCTGCTGGGGTGTCGCAACATCACCCAATTCCATCAAATGGTCAACGTCGTGCGAATATGCCTGGCTTTGACCATTTCTTTGAGCTTCGCATTGTTGACTTAGTTAGGCGCTTTCTTCTAACTTTCGGTGCCCAGTGGGGCGCTGACTGCCTCGTGGTCTAGTCCATGACAGGCATAGCGTCATGCACCCCACAAAAGATCACGAGGGCAGGTCCCCCGTCGAGCTTGTGGCCGCGCTGAACAACTTACCCGGGCAGGGCTTACGCAGCGCTCACCCACCAAACACGATGTGTTGACGATGCTACCACTGCAATTTTTTCGCGCGTGGTAACAATGCATGCGCATTCGCGCCTCGCCCCGCGCCTAGCACATGTGCTCACCACAGGGATCGCGCTTCGGCAGTCGGGCCTGCGACCTACAAGCTTTGACGCCCCATCGGATCTAACGATGGAAGTCAATGTGAGCTTCGTACGAACAGGATGGAAGATTTGTATACATTCCGCTAACTACAGTTACGGTGCAGAGCCTCACCCCCACGAAACTATCCCGCTATCGGCCTCCCTACACAACGCGTCACATAGCATTCACTCGCATCCACAACGTATACGACTCGACAGGGTCTGGTCCAATGATACCCAGAGCATATTAAGAAGCACTGGTGGAGGAAGCAAGAGGGAGTCGTAACCGGGATACGAACAACGTGGTTGAAGAACAACAAAGACTGGCCACGAAGCGATTTAGATCTGGGCTCTGAAGAACCGAGCGGAAGAGCCGTCAACCACCGGACAAAGTCACTTTGGCACATACATGATCGGGCATCGCGCCTTTGCGACTCCGGGCAATATCGCAATGCATAGGCATAATCCTGAATCCTGGTGGCGGAATAGTGCAGGCGTTTGTCAGTACGGCATCGCCAAAGGTACAGTGTATCTTGCCATGTTTGGGAAGATCTAGGTTGCAATGGTAAGCAAGGAGGGGTGTTCCTGGACAAATTTGATGTGATACGACATGTCCCGTGTAGATACTTCGCCATGCTGCTGGTGCTTGGAACGGACCCGCCGGATAGTGCGATAGTGCACCAGAACTCACAGCAGCTGTACATCGCTTCAAACGAAACCAGAAAAACAGCATCTTGAGATCGGCTGTTTCTTCTCGAGCGGCCTGTCCAGCGTGCGCACTTTCGTTGTGCACTGAACGCCAGACACTGTAACTTACCTCTTCTTGCTCTTCCCTTGCTCTCTGGCTTTTCTTTGTCTTCATTTCCACCCTTTCGTATCTTCCCTGTGTGCTTTAATCTGCTTCTGTTTGCTCCCCTTGCTTTCCTCTTTCCTCCCTCTGACACCATTCTATGCTCTTCACGCTCATCACGCAGCCACGCCCTGCACTCCTTCATGCCCTAGCCGAGATAAGGTGGTTTGACAGAAGTCGAAACGCCTGAACATGCATATGATGGCAACATGAGCGGCCTCAACTGTCATGAGCTGGTCAACGAGTGGAGCGCTGCGACCACCACCCGAGTGGCCGCTGTTTACATCTTCGTTCGCGAACTTATCCACATCTGCCTAACCGTCCATGACAATCCTTCCGAGGAAATCCCTTTGTTCTCGTCACCACGAAAGGGCTGCCAAACACCGATCGCGAAGATGCTAGATGCAGGAGACAGTATGCAACGTCACTGTCATATTTATACGGAGGTCTTCGCCCGTTACCTGCGATCGTGCGACGTCCACGCAAGCTTGGGGTGGCTCCACGATTTACACACAGTAGTGGCGACATCGGTGGTAGCAGATGTGCTTCGCTTCCTCCTTCCAGACGTCGTTGCTTTCAGCTGCATCACATTCCGGACCGACTATCATCAGGTACTGCATACTGCAGGAACTCAGTATCTCTGCAATCCCTACCAGGCGAGCTGCCGTTATTATTATGCTTACGTTGGGCCTGATTCGTTCTTTCTGATGCTCTCAGGTACCACTCACGCGCCTCCATGAGACCACTCATGCGTTGAACCATTAGAAGGCGACCTCAATCCGAGATCGCAGTTGCAGCTTTCAGGAGGAGCCACTATATCATGATGCGCTGTGTTGAGGAATTTGTTGTGCAGACATACCCGCATCCCGATCGGCTTGACAGTTTCTGCAACCTGTTGGGGCGCACTGGCGCACACTGGACTACGTCCACTTCAGCCGAACCAGGGAAGCTTCATCACGAAGCCGAACGAAAACCTCCCCTCAATCACGTCGTCAATGCAGCACATGAGCTAACTTCTCATGTTCCAGAGACACCCACGTGAATCTCTCCCCTTCCCGCGCGCTAGCGGGTACCGATCTTACGCTAACCCCAACTTGGTCACTACTCGTGCTTCTCCACTCACCGCATTGATAGCACGCAGAGGAAGAAGCGACTGCAGATTTGTGAATGCTTCCGAGTAATGCTCTCCACAAGATTTGCTTTGCTGTATAGAGCGTGGATGCCGACGCAATGAAGGTGAAAGTGAAAGTGAGAGTGAAGATGACATG